CGAGCCTAAACGATATTTTTACACATCAGACCATACGAGGTAACAAAATGAATAACCTGTCTATCTAAGGGCTCGTACACCAAACTACGATGCAATGCGATGCGAATTCGCAACGCAAAAAATCACGACACGAATTGCTGCGATGCGATTTCGTGCGACAAGGTGTCTCCCAGGGTGACGACCGATTCCTTCGACAACCGTCAACCGTACTGAACGTATTTTAAATTGAAAACTAAGTCGTGACATGGATCGTAAAAAGAAGTGTGTACTTCTGTTATTGCTTAGGAGATACAGGAAAAAGAAACAAAGAAGATTTTGGGAAGATAAAATTTCGATGCGCGATGTGGATCAATTCGCAAGTTCTTGCGGTGCGTAGAGGGAGCTCGCACAGTTTTTCGATGCGACGTCGCATCGTAGTTCTGTGTACGAGCCCTTAGACCGCAAACTTAACAAACGTACTATAAACTCACTAACTTGGTAATCTCGTTCCGTACAGTTTAAGTGTTACGGCTAATACCCGAAATGCGGCTATAACTGCGAACTAGGTATAACTCTTGGTTAAACCTAGCACGAACCGATTGTTTCCGGGTAAAACTAGGTCTAATCTTCATCATGCCGACAACTAGGTCCAGCCATTTCCTGTTGGATAAAACTAGGTCTATCCGATATCATTCCGGCGAGAACTCGGCTCCAGCCAGCTAATTAAGGCAAGCTGGAGAGTAAGGAACGGTGACTTCTCCCTGAAATACTCGGGATGATGGTAGCCCGCGGGGTCGCTAATGCTCGTCACCTCGCCTCAAGGTGCCCTGCGGCTTTATTATTATTTACATATATTTATTTAAATTTCTCTACAAATTACATTTTTAAATATTACTTACTAAATAAAAAATAATATTTAATAATATAAAAAATCGGAGCCGACCAGTAGCGGGAACATGGTCCAAGCTACCGGTGGTTAGGACTCCAAAGATAGAAACCTCCTCACAATACGTGCCGTTTCTAGGAGAACTGCCTTCTGTATCAGGATGGATGGATGTCGAGGCTTTTAGGGCCATATTAACCCATTGGCCGACACGACTATCGGCACAGTGATAGCCAAATCCACACTCCACATGTCGACGACCTGCTTTCACGAGCTTTCACGAGGTTCTCGCCATGGGGAATGGTGACATCGATTATCATCGTGCGGCGTACTTGTCGGTCTATCACCACTATGTCAGGTTTACTATGCCATTGGCTACAATCCTGTCCTAATGATAGACCGGTCCCAGTACAATGTGATATGGTCATTTTCCAGAACTGGGTCGGGCACATACTTGTAGTACGGTATCTCAGATTCAACAAGTCGTTAGTGTAAAGCAAGTTGCTGATGGATAATCTTGGCTACTTGATTATGCCTATGCAAATATTCACTGTTAGCCAAATGACCACAACCAGAAATTATAATAATATGTCTAATGGATTCACCTGGCCTATGACATGCCCGACATATGTCAACCGTCCCATCCTTAATTATATATTTCCGACAGTTATTCGTAAAGATAACGTCGTCCATTATTGCACAGTTTCTCCAAAGAGATTACTGAATCGTAGCCAAGATACGGACGCTAGAAAATCTACACGGAAGAAGCGTCCGTGGAGCTCCTTGCTATGCCATACCTCCTTGCGATCTTTGACGCTCAGTACCACAGGTTTGCGCCAGTTCTCTTTTGCCAAGGATAGTGGAGTGAATCCATTGTCCACCGTTGCTACTTCTCGATGCATACCCTCGTTGACTTTCAGGAAATATTCCCTGAGGTTGCACACCTCACGGTTGTGAAGGGCTTAATAAGCCTCGACCACCACACTTCCGCGGGATGTACAACCTCATGATTATTATTATGTATGTCTTTACTATTCACGGGACCACAGGATCCCGGTCATTTGCGAGGCTTACGAGGGGCCGAAGCCAACTGCCCAGAGGCCCTTTAGACAACTTTAATCTAAATGTAATGGACACACAAACCGGCGACTATCCATGTATGCACTATGGAAATGCACCCAAGGACAGTCCCCGGTTAGTGTAGAACTATTGTGTATAATGGAACAAAAAAGGTTGGGTTATGGATGGATTGCTGTGGACCGGTAGATTGGAAACTGGATGACTATGGCACCTGCCGAAACAATGTGATTATTACACGTAAAAATGGCAGGCGGAGACTCGCCAACTCACGGACCGGGCCCCGTAAATGGTTGCTTGCCCGATATAGCAACAGAGAGGCAACGAGAATGTGAGTGGCTGAAGAGTTAAGAAACTACCACCGCTTTCTACTCAGATCATCTGCTCCCGCGACTCCACTCTGGACGGCCAATGAAGGCAAGCCACAGGTGGGAGACCTGAAAATTGTCATTGTTCACTGCATCCAACCAATTAAGGCAAGCCGGAGAAGAAGGAACGGTGACTTCTCCCTGGAGCACTCGGGATGATGATAGCCCGCGGGGTCAATCGAGCGAGCTCGAAATCTTTCGAGCATCCTCGATCATTTTCGAGCGTCCTCGAAATCTATCGAGCGTCCTCGAAAACTATCGAGCGTCCTCAATCACTTTCGAGCGTCCTCGAAATCTATCGAGCGTCCTCGAAATCTATCGACCGTCCTCGAAATCTATCGAGCGTCCTTGAAAACAATCGAGCGAGCTCGAAATCTATCGAGCATCCTCGATCATTTTCGAGCGTCCTCGAAATCTATCGAGCGTCCTCGAAA